TTATAATACTTTTTTAATTCGAGTTGAAATGGCATATCGGTACAGCCAAAAAACAAAATGGCGGCGAGATAATTTTTTTAAATTCTAAAATATTCACTCTACGATTACGATATTCAAAATGATCGTAGATTTCGCTAAAAGAATGAGACTGAAAAAGGATTTGATTAAAAAAACAAAATGGCGGCCGAGATATTTCACCTGGAAATTTGGCATTTTTCGACCTCTGTTTGGGCAATCGTCGTTTCTTTTGTGGTGGGTTTGGAGGGGGGATTTTTACGCCGGCGACTTGGAATTATAGTCGATTTTCACGCACGGGGAGTTTTCGCTTGCGAGTCAATATGGCGGCGACGGTGGCGGCCATTTTGTTTCGGCAATGAAAAATCGCCATTTTCCAGTGAGATTTTCTCCAAGATGGCGGCATCGGACGGATTCGTGTTCTATGGGCCGGTCGTGAGGCTCGGTAGGATCTTTCTACGTCACTACCTATTTCTACCATTTTCGTGGTAGTTTATGAGACAGACTCGATGCGGTGTGGTGCCGGGGGAGCCCTATGACTTTTGGTAATTTTCGTTTCTGCGAGCTGACAACCCTGGGCTCCACGGTAGAAAACATTTTTTTCGACATGCCCTCATAACCCGAATTGTTTGGGAACCTGGGTGGCCATCGGAGAAAATCTGTGAATGAGGTGGTACGCCAAATATAGTCGTGACTATAGGAAAATTATAAAACTCGGGAAAATCAATATGGCGGCGCCGGCAGAGGCCATTTTGTGATTTTTTCACTTTTTCGAAAAATTCAAACGCACTTTTAGTACACATGGCAACATCGGAGCTCTTCGCCTTGTATGGACCGGTCGTGAGTCTCCGCTGGCTCTTTCGAATGACGTGAAAGTTTTCCCCGATTTTAGGGTAATTTCGGAGATTTACCCAAAAAAGATGAAAAGTAGAAGGAGACGTTTTGGGATTTCAAAAATATATTTTTTCGACGTAGGACACTCCCCGAAATGACATTTGCCCATTTTCATCGGCGACACCTGGCAACCCTGGTGTATGTGGCGATTTGAAAAATTTCACCCATTTTTTACTTTGTCGACTCTAGCGCAGTCGGTATTGCCATTAGGAAAATGGTAAAAAGTGCATCGGATGCGCTATCAAGTTGGCCACATCGGTACGGAGCAGGATTTTCAAAATCCAAGATGACGGCCAAACTAGCAGCCGTTTTATTTATTTATTTATTTATTTATACTTTATGCACAAATGTACATAGGCGGACTTAATGCCTGCGGCATTTTCTGCCAGTCAACCTTAAGGTAATGTGGAGAAGAATACGTGGTCAGGTGCACAATTATAAGAATATACTAAACTAGACAACCTAATTAATATATATACTTTAAGATACATACTATATAATATTGTACATAGAAACATACATACATACATAAATAAAAATATAATATATTAAATACATACATACACGATTAACCATTAAAGGAATCTGCTTGCTCTAAAAGATAGCTGCGTAACTTAGTTTTAAACGCATACCGACTAGTAGACATTCTTAGGTCTAAAGGAAGAGAGTTCCATAGGAGAATAGATTTAATAAAGAAGGAAGAATGAAGTACATCAGAGCTATGAGAAGGACACATGAGCAAACGGTTAGAAGCAGAACGTAGATTTTTAGTGTGACTTGTGGACAAGTATTGAAAGTGGGGAGTAAGATAAGAAGGAGCATTATGTGAATCTAGTAATGAGAAAAGGGTGGTTAGAGTTCGCATTTGCCTGCGTTGCCGAATGGGCATCCATTTGAGTAATGATCGGTATTCAGACACATGATCATACTTTCGTAGATTGTAAACGAATCGAATGCAGTTATTCAGAAGACGGTCAAGTTTATTAAGTAGATCTGCATTCAAGTCGAGATAGCATACATCACCATAGTCGATTATGGGAAATATTAGGGTCTGCATTAGCATTGCCTTAATGTTAATAGGTAGGAAATTTTTCATGCGGTAAAGAGCTCGTAGCACTCCAGTAACTTTTTTCGAAACATTTGCTACTTGGGCCTGCCAGTTTAAGTTACAGTCGATAAATAACCCAAGATCTTTCACATTTTGGCTAAATGGGATCGAAACGCCATCGAAGACCAAAGCACGGAGATCGCAATTATTGATTCTAGTTGTCATTCGAGAGCCGCCCACCAATACAGCCTGACATTTTGTGGGGTTGACAGCAACACCAAACATTTCCGACCAAGACTTTATAGAGATTAAGTCTCTGTTCAGAGCATCAATTGCATCGTTTAAACTATCAACATTTGCCTGAGTGTATAGCTGCAAGTCATCAGCGTACAGATGATACGAACACTGAAGTTTACAAGTGATAAAATTAATAAAAATGGAAAAAAGAAGAGGAGAAAGAATGCCGCCTTGAGGAACACCAGTTTCCAGATTATACCAGGATGACGAAGACTCACCAGACTGGACCATCTGCTGGCGCTCCCGAAGATAGGACGAGAACCACTTCAACGCATCGTCAGACACTAAAATGTGAGATAGAATAGCGAGAAGGATATCATGGCTAACAGTGTTAAAAGCATTGGAGAAATCGATGAGGACCAAGCAAGTAATTTTACCATTCTCCATACCTGCCCTAACATCGCCAGTTACCTTGAGAAGAGCTGTGATTGTACTATGTCCTGGTCTAAAACCCGATTGCAGAGGATTCAGTATAGAATTTTTGTAGGCAAACTGCGAAAATTGTTGGTGAACGCAAGCCTCAAGTACTTTGGATAAGAAAGGAAGGATGGAGATGGGACGGAAATGGTTAGGGTCAGTTGGATTAGAGACTTTAGGAAGAGGACGGACATAAGCTTTACGCCAAAGAGAAGGGAAAACTCCAGAAATAAGAGAGAAATTTATTATATGTGTAATTGCAGAGAGAAGGTGATCCAAGATTAAAATTATCATGCGACGACTAATGTTGTCACACCCCACAGCATTAGATTTAATGGAAAGGACGATTTTTTTAATGTCTGACGATGTGAATGGTGAAAAGTGAAAAAGGGGAATGTTGAGACGCGGTAAAGCTGATATAGAAGCAATGGCAGCTGTAGTAGTTGCCCGATCTAGCTTCGACGTAGTTGAGAAATGTCGATTTAAGTCATTTAATTCGATCGAAGTAGGCAGTTCCAAATGACGAGATTTGCCGATGCCTAGAGTTCCAAGAAATTTCCAGATATCAGCAGGAGAAGAGGAAGAGATATTATTGAGGATGTAGCGGCGTTTTGCATTACGTATCATCTGGTTTAACCGATTTCTAGCGACTTTGAAGAGACCCCACTTTTCTTCTCCACGATCTTTCTTGAAATTACGGAACGCCCGATCCCTACGCCTCATCGCCATTTGAATGCCTTTAGTCATCCATGGAGCTGGTAACCTCTTTAACTTAATTTTTTTAACAGGAGCATGAGTATTATACAGTTCTGTAACGATACAATTAAAGATACGAACTTTTTCGTCGACTGAAGGCGCTTCTATTAGGGGCTCCCAATTAATTAACGAAGCATCCTTTTGAAGTTCTTCAACATCTAGGCGTGCAAAAGAGCGCCTATACAGAACCTTAGGAATAGATTTAGGAGGTTTAAGGAGATAGGAAAGGAAAATAAGGTCATGATGAGAAAATCCAGGAGCAATGTGTTGACCGTGAGAGGATACTAGGGAAGGATTCGAGATTAGGATTAAATCCAGCCAGGAGTCGTCACCACCTATGTTTTGGTGAGTAGATTGAAGCGGCAGGATTTGAAGGCTGGATGACTGAACTATATTCAGAAGCTTTCGGGATCGGGGAGAGTTAGGTAAAAGGAGATTGGTATTGAAATCTCCCATGATGATGTAATGAGCATACTCAGAACCCAAAGATTCCAAAACCGTTTCCAGTTCGGTGAAATAGTTGATAGATGGGGGACAATAAACAACACCCAAAATTACCCTGTCACGACCAGTTCCAACTTCTAGGAAGAGAAATTCGGCACATGAGTCAGAACTAGAAGAAGCTATTATTTTGTAAGTAAATACGCTACGCAAATATATGGCCACTCCACCACCACCTGTTTTGGTTCGATCATTTCGGATGAGAATAAAGTCAGGAAGTGAATAGGTCGACGAATCGAGATGCGGTTTTAGCCAAGACTCAGAGATCAGAATAGCGTGGACATTCGGTCCGGAAAACACATCAAGCAGTTCATTGTAGTGACAAGGAACACTTTGGGCATTGATATGACATACATTCAATAAACTAGAAGATTTACAGAAGGTTCGACCAAGAAAATCACCCAAATTGTCAGCAGCAGAAGAAAAACTATCATAGCTGGAGGCACTTGCAGATTCATCGTCAGCAGAAAAATATGTATTATCATGAAATAACATTAAAATATATAAATAAAGATAAATATAATAATATTGTAATAATATAATATAATATATATACTACCCAAACTCTTAATCACTTAAAACACTTAAATCTCCACACCACCCGCCAGCTTACATCAACGGATACACAAAACAATAGATATATAAAAAAAAAAAAACAAAACTCACAATTGATTAAACCATAATTTAGAATCAAATTCATAGTGCAAACAAACAAACTCAAAATTAGCCTGCTTGGAACGAATCCCTTTGCGTTTAGACAATTAAAAAAAAAATGCAAGAAAACTAAAAGTAAAGAGTCATGTCAGACAATGTCAAATGAATGTTTGTTTATTCACACCACAACCCTGTAACAAAGTTTGTGCATTATTCTCATAAAAGAGTTTTGCAATAGAATCATATCAACTCGCATACTAATGGGACAATTACAGTCAGAAATAGAGAGAAGATATCGATAAATAATACCAGTGCAAACATGATTCGTCAACTACTTCAAGACAAAATAGATAAGAATGTAAGCAAATAACAATATAATCACTTAAATCTATCACTATTAAGAGAGACAAATCAAGATAATCTAAAAAAAAAAAATCGATACGTGAATAAAGGTGAGATCATCATTACAATATAAAATGAAGCCATTACTTATTATTCTTATTTCCAGAGCGCCCACTCAAAGCCGCTGTCGTTAAGAGTGCCTTCGGATATTTTGCAATCAGGGAGTCCAACTCTTCTCTCAGCACCACCTTGTGCCGCTTGCCATCGGAAGACTTGACAAATATGATTCCATCTTGTGTCCAGCATGACCGAATACCAAAATGCAGACGGGCTTTGCTAAAAACGGCTTGTCTTGACTTTGTGAGGAACTCCCTCACCGAGATGCCAGTCCCCTTCAAACCGGTCTTTGCCCTCCAGACTGAAGTTCGTGCTTCAACTTGTGCAAACCGAATTAGAATGGGACGATGGTTATCATCAGTGTTGCTGCTAGAAGAAGATCCCAATCTGTGACACACTGTGAGAGAATTCCTTGAAATGTCCTTGAGGCCTAACTTCGAATTGAGAATGCCACACACCTGTTCTTTGCAATCCTCCTTTTCGGATTCAGCAACTCCAAGAAGAATCAAGGCCTTGCGTCGATGCCTGGTCTCAATGGCCTCAATTTGCATGCAGCACTCATTTATTTGCTTTCTAAGTAATCCAAGCATATTAAACATGAGCTCTCTAAAAGTCCGGAACTCCTCGGCCACCTTGGCAACCGTTTCCTTACCAGGACCTGCACCTTGAATTTGTTGTTCAAGATCATGCATCTTCTTGATGAAAGATTCCTCAAGACTTCTCTGAGTGGACATAATTTCAGATAGCTGTGACATTCTTAGTGAGATTTAGTGAGAGTGAGAGATGTGCTGGCAGGTAGTGCTTAATATTTACTATGTCCACATAAAAACTAAACCAACGTTAGTAGAGTTGTAATGGTTCATAAAATTCACAGTTATGTTACCAAAATTTTGTTAAAATAACTTTAACTATTTTACTTGTATTATGTGAATCAAAAAAACCCGAAAAATTGGGTATTGTCACCACGTCGAGCCGATTTTGACGCACTTGGCGACATTTGTCAGACTACTTCCGGGAAAACAATTTGTAGGCAAGTAGCTTAAATGTTGCCAGGTGAAAAAAAATCTCGAAAATTTTTGATACTTTATGAGATTTTTGAGGAAACAATTTTTGTCGAATTTTTCAACTTTTTTGATGCAAATATTTTAATTTTAACTTTTCAAGGTACCTGATGGAAATTATAGAACGATCGACTGGCAACACTGAGAGCGAACAACGTTTGAAATTCAACCTCGATTATGACTGACTTGGCAACCCTGCAGGTGTTTGGCATGTATGGAGCGAATGTGTATCTCTATAGACTCTTTCGTATGGTGGAAAAAAATTACCCGATTTTAGGGTAGTTTTTGAGATTTACCCCAAAAACTGTAAATGTCAAAGGAACACTTTTAGAGCTTGAAAATTGCTATCAGTCGATGGAGGACGCATCCCGAAATGACATTTGACTATTTTCATCGCCTACACCTGGCAACCCTGGCAGCTACGGTGGTTTGAAGATTTAATGCCCACTGTTCACGTTTTGGACTCTAGCTCAGTCACTATTGCCGCTAGGAAAATAACAAAAACTGCGTTGGATGCTCCAATAGGTGGGCTACATAGGTCTTAGGTTGAAATTTCAAAATTCAAGATGGCGGCTTATACAGCGTCCACTTTATCTAGAAAATTGATCATTTTTCATAACTTTCACTTTATAGAGCTGATTTTGGCGTTTTGGTAGGTAACATTTTTAAGAATACTTTTAACAAAAATATGTATTCAGCTGAAGTGTTGCCAGATGAAAAAAAACATCTGAACATTTCTTGATACCGGGATTTTTGAGAAATTTTCATGTATGTCATTTATGAAAAATATTAAAACAATTCTTTACAATAATTTTACTGTTTCACAAAAAAATTACTATCGAATTTATAACATAATTGATGGAATAATTTGAGTGATCGACTAGCAACTGACTACGTCAGTCACCATAAATTTCAGAATGATTCTGACCGAGTTGGCGACTCGGGAGCTTTATAGCTTATATAGACCGTTTGTGTATCTTTACCCAATCTTTACGTGGTGAGAAAAAAATTCCACTATTTTAGACAGAAACGTGAAGCGAGCGAGACATTGTCATTCAGTTAGATTAGAACTGTGACTAAAACAAAAAGCGAGCGAAGCGAGCCATAAAGGGTGACCATTTAGAGAGATTTGATTAATTCGTAAGGTTAGAACTGTGACTAAAATAAAATGCGAGCGAAGCGAGCCATAAAGAACACCATCACTATGAATCTGATCAACCAGTTAGATTAGAACTGTGAATAAAACAAAAGGCGAGCGAAGCGAGCCATAATGCGAGACCATTAAAAGGGACCTGATCAATCGGTTATGTTAGCACTGTAACTAAAACAAAAAGCGAGCGAAGCGAGCCATAAAGAGAGACCATTTAGAGAGATTTGGTTAATTGGTAAGGTTAGAACTGTGACTAAAATAAAATGCGAGCGAAGCGAGCCATAAAGAACACCATCAATAGAGGCCTGGTCAATCAGTTAGAGTAGAACTGCCAATAAAACAAAAAGCGAGCGAAGCGAGCCATAATGCCAGACCATTAAGAGAGACCTGATCAATCGATTATGTAAGCACTGCGTCTAAAACAAAAAGCGAGCAAAGCGAGCCATAAACAGTTACTATTAAGAGAGATTTGGTTAATTGGTAGGGTTAGAACTGTGACTAAAATAAAATGCGAGTGAAGCGAGCCATAAAGGACACCATCAATAGAGACCTGGTCAATCGGTTAGATTAGAACTGCGTATAAAAACAAAAAAAAAGCGAGCGAAGCGAGCCATAATAAATGGAGACCTGGTCAATCGGATAAGGAACTGTGACTAAATGTGCTTATAAGCGTGCCATTTAGGTATATATAGCCATTTAGGTAAAATTTACCTGTATTATACTACTACTCACGTATAATTTATACAGGTACTAAGTATATTTTATACAGGTAAATTTTAAAATTCAAGATGGCGGCTAAGACAGCGACCATTTTATCTAGAAAATGTATCATTTTTCACGGTTTTTACTTTATAGAGCTGATTTTGGCATTATTGATAACATTTTCAGACTACTTACAGAAAAAAAATGTATTTAGTTGAAGTGTTGCCGGATGATAAAAAACTGTTTTTTTTTGATACTTTAATTTTTTGGAAATTTTCTATTGAATAAGAATAAAAGACTACAAGGCGATCTATACAACATTTATTTTAAGTTTTCCTTACGTTTTTCAACTGAATATTTCTTTTTATATTGCGTGTAAACTGGCAGCCCTTTTTTTATGTATGATGTTTTGCGTACTTAAAGATCTTTTATTTGAAGATAGAACTTACTAACTTTTTCTAGGCAATTTTATACTGTAAACCCAACATAACAAGAGGCGGTCTTAAAACTTCAATATCTGTATTAACTAAATATTAACTTACTTTTGAATAAGAATAAGATAATAAATGACTACAAGCCGATATATTCCAAATTTTATTTTAGTTTTGCTTGCTTTGAATATTTCTTTTTCTATTTAGTGTAAACCGGCAACCCTTTTTCTTTGATGTATAGTGATTTGTGTATTTAAACACCTTTCATTTGAAGATAGAACTTAATAACATATTCTAGGCAATTTCAAACTATAAACCCGACATGACACGAGGCGGACCTTAAATCCCACCGCTCCGATGCCACAAGCGACTCGTTTACGCTCAAGAACTTTACAATAAGTAAAGCAACAAAAACTTGTATAGGTTTATTATGACATATGGGTTAGGTTAGGTTAGTGTATGAAAAACAACGCACGAGCCGAGCGAGCGTAGCGAGCGTGCCGCGGCAGCGGCCGGCGAAGTGCCAGAAACGAATCGCTTTTGTTGATGGTAACATTTGGTTTATAAGGTTTAAAAGATGATCGTGACCATTTTAATTTCAATTTTGATTTCGATGGACTTGATAATTCGGAATCTTTATAGCGTGTATATGGATCATTTGTTTCTCAAATTTTTCTATTTTTGACACGATAATTATTACTTAAAGTACATTTTTCTATACTTCTAGAGTAATGAGAAATTATGTTCTTTTTTGCATTCAAACTAATTTCATATTGTAACTTAATTTCTGTAAAATAGTATCTATAAACGCACACATCTTTTCTCAAAGTTTAGTATTATAGAGTATTTTTTCCAAGTTTTAAAAGATATCTGCAAAAACAATAAATAATGATTAATAATAGTAACACTTACGGAAATATATTTGCGGATTGTTCTTGTTAATAAGAATAAGAATGTAAAATACTACAAGTCTATCTAACGTTTTTCGACTGAATATTTCATTTTCTATTGAGTGTATATGGGCAACTGTTTTTCTATTGAGTGTATGGTGCTTTGTGTACTTAAACAACTTTCATTTGAAGATAGAAATTACTAATTTTTACTAGGCAATTTTATACTGTAAACCCAACGTAACAAGAGGCGGACTTAAAACCCCAATATCTGTATTAACTAAATATTAACTTACTATTGAATAAGAATAAGAGAATAAAAGACTACAAGCCGATGTATACAAAATTTATTTTAAGGTTTTCTTGCGTATTTCGACTGAATATTTCTTTTTCTATTAAGCGTAAACTGGCAACCCTTTTTATTTGATGTATGGTGCTTAAACACCATTCATTTGAGGATAGAACTTACTAACTTTTTGTAGACAATTTCAAACTGTAAACCAAACATGATAAAAAAAGCGAAAAATATTAAAATCTGCTTCCGAGGCGGACTTGAAACCCCACCGCCCCGATTTCACCAGCTTCTCATTACCTCAACCAAGCGAAAGCTAGTCTATTCTATCTATAATATATAAAACTTAATTACCACTCACTGACTCACTGACTCACTCCATGCTTTTTTCGGGTAGAAAGAGGGGGAAAATGATATTTTCATGTATGGAGAGTGACAATATTTTTTTTAATGAGTTGAAATGGCATTGGGGTTCAGCCAAAAAACAAAATATTTTTTTAATTTCTAAAGTACGGTTACGATATTCAAAATGGTCGTAGATTTCACTCTACGGTTACGATATTCAAAATGGTCGTAGATTTCACTAAAATAATGAGACTGGAAAAAGGTTTGATTAAAAAAAAAATGGCGGCCGAGATATTTCACCCGAAAAATTGGCATTTTTAGACCTCTGTTTGGGCGATCGTCATTTCTTTTATGGTGGGTTTGAAGGGGGGAATTTTTGCTCCTTTAGCTCAGAAGTATAGTCGATTTTCATGGATGGGGAGTTTTCATTTGCGCATCAGCATGGCGGCGGCGGTGGTGGCCATTTTGTTGCGGCAATGAAAAATCGCCATTTTCCAGTGATATTTTATCCAAGATGGCGGCATCGGACGGGTTCGCGTTCTATGGACCGGTCGTGGGGCTCAGTAGGATCTTTCCACATTAGTACTACATTCTACCATTTTCGTGGTAGTTTATGAGATTTTGGGAGAAAAGTGAAATTTCGAAATACGCACTTTTCGCGGAAAACAGACTGGATACGGTGTATTGCCGGGGGAGCCCTATGACTTTTGGTAGTTTTCGTTTCCGCGAGCTGACAACCCTGGGCTCCACGATAGAAAACGTGTTTTTCGACATGCCCTCATAACCCGAATTGTTTGGGAACCTGGGTGGCCAGAGGAGAAAATCTGTGGATGAGGTGTCGCGCCAAATATAGTCGTGACTATGGGAAAATTATGAAACTCGGGAAAATCAATATGGCGGCGCCGGCAGCGGCCATTTTGTGTTTTTTTCACTTTTTCGAAAAATTCAAACGTCGCAACATCGGAGCTCTTCGCCTTGTAGGGACCGGTCATTAGTCTCCGCCGGCTCTTTCCTTTGAGGTGAAAGTTTTCCACGATTTTAGGGTAATTTCGGAGATTTACCCCAAAAAAGTG